GGGGGGGGGGGGCTCCCAGATATCAAATTATATCATAAGGCGTCCCACCTAGCCAGATTGCTGGACTGGAATTGCCACGCAGCAGAGAAACAGTGGGTGGGGATGGAACTCTCTGAGTACCGAGTGCCGCTTTCGGGGCTTGCGTGGCTTACCTCCCCGCTGCCTGATGCAATTTCCTCACACCCTCTGATTGCTCCTACACTGAGAGTAGCCCGGACGGCCTTGGTTAGTTCGAACATATCCCCTCACCCATCACCCATGACACCGGTGCTAGGGGACCCCGACTTCCCACCTGGTATGGAGAACGGTCACTTACGGAGACTATTGAAAGTGCACAGATTTCGCCTTTTTGACTTTATTTTAGACGGGAATTGGCTCTCTATTGACTCTATTCGAAACTTGACGGATCCACGGCTAGATGAATGGAGTACGATGCAGCTTCGTCATTTTTTGGCCTCTGTACCCGGGTTGGGGGGACTGTCGCGCCGCCTCACTGAGTTCGAGTCTGTCTGCCATCTAGGGGCTCCAATCCGCCATGCAATATCTATGCTGTATAAGCTGCTATGCTCCCCGCCTCAGTCATATTGTCCCCCATTTCTCGAGAGGTGGGAGTCCGAGTTGGGTAGACCATTCACTGAACAACAAAGGGATACCATCATCTCCCTAGCACACAGGTCATCCTTGGCATGCAAATTCCAGGAACAAGGATACAAGATCCTGACCCGTTGGTATCGAGTTCCATACATCCTTAACAAAATAAATAGCTCGCTCCCCCGACTTGTTGGAGATGCGAACAGGATATTGGCACTATGTTACACGTTTTCTGGCAGTGTCCTGGCCTCCGACCCTTCTGGACGGCGGTGCGGTCTACAATTAACCAGCTGGTGATTGGCGACCTGTCTGATGACCCAGCGGTCTGCTTACTACATATGACATCCATGGCCATCAAAAACTACAAAAAATCTCTCACTATCCATTTGCTGAATGCAGCACGGTCATGTATCCCCCTGATGTGGAGAGAACGCAGTCCCCCCTCGATGAGAATGTGGTTTTCCATAATAGGAGAGATTTACCGTATGGAGGATCTGACTGCCTCCATACACAACCATGAAGAGCGATTTCGAAAGGTTTGGAGAGCATGGGTCCACTTCACAACCACCCCTGCTTACCTCGTAGTGATGGACGCGCACCTCGACACTCCGCCAGCGGAGGGTTGACGAGCATGCGGAGAACGGTACCATTGCGGTCAACGGCCGAGTCTGGGTTCCCCTTCCTTCCTACCTTCCCTCCTTACTCCTTTTCTTACCCTACTAGACTTTTCTGTATACGTCCAGTTTGAGAGATGCCAGCTGGAGGTGGGACTTCACCCACTCTCTCACAAGATGCGTACCTTTTAAAGCGATAATGACGCAGGTGATTACTCAGGGTGAGTGGGGTGGGCACGTCCCACGCAATGTTCAGCAATAATGCCTTTAGGTGAATATAGCTAATATTACTAGGACTTTACAGATCACGGGACTTGCTTACTACGTAATTTAGGCTTGGGTTGTAACAGGTACATTCACATAGTCCGGCCCTCTTGCAGAACTATGCTGCGGAGAATATGAGACATATGCCTATGGTTGGGGTTGAGGCTCAGCGGGACATGGTGGAGACCCCGCGAGAGATTCAGGCGATGAAGTTATTGATATCCAACCGGGCAGAATGTACATAACACATGTTGTATGGTTTATTAGCAGTAGACAAAAAACATCTGATTTTATACAGCCTGTGGTCCGATCTGTCATTTTTTGTTTTTGTTTTTATCCTGTTATAACAATGTAGATGTCATGTTTTTACAACTACTTTGTATTTGAATGTCTGTCTGATTATTGTTTGACCAATAAACGCAACATTTAAAAAAAAAAAAACTGATGAGCATGAGGAGCCACCAGGTGGATAAAATATGTATTTTTTTCAGAGTCTATTGAGGAACACAAGAATTTTTTCACCTCACAAAAGTTCAGCCGCCTACAGGAGAATAAGACACTGGAACACAAGGGGAACTGTCAGCCAGCCCAGAATGGTACCTCCCTCTGCCAGCATGCCTCATTTTTGTAGACAATCAGTACTGAGAGCATGATCATATACACATTGGGATGGGATCTGTGTCCCTTAATGGACTCCAAAAAAAGGATTTTATACTGAGTACAAAAATCATATTTTCTTTCTTGTCCATTGATGGACATCCAAAGTCTTTCATCTTCCGGACTTCCAAAAACAGCCCAACCTGGGGTTGGGTATAACAGCAAACAGGTT